CGCGTTACAATAACTCCAATGGATGGACAATTTCCGAGTGAAATGTGTTTTGCCCACCTTGTTTTGTTTTCGAAAAATATACACGTGTAGATGCAGAAAGAAACAGAATCGAATTTCCCGCGTTACGCTCGCTCTCTTCAATCGAGAATTGGTATAACACGAACGAGGGGGGGCGTGGGGGGCAAATGAATTTTTCGTCAATTTTCAGGGAATCAATTGAGAAAAGTAATAATAAAGAAACGAAAAAGGGTGCGTGGAAGCACGGCAAGGGGGAGAGATAAAAGAGCGCGCTATGTAGAATTCGAGTTGAAAAAAAAAAAACTGGCAGCAGGAAGAACACGAAAGAGAGAACGAACGAACGAATAACACGGGGGGGGGGGGGGGAGTGTATAACTCGCGCGTTTCCGGGAGAGAGCGTAGCCTTTTCCTTCTCCGAAAACCATTTGCATAATGCGAAGCGGCCCCCCTTCTTTATATACGTGTGCCTATGAACCCCCCTTCCCCCCCATAGCCACGCTCTCTCTCTCTTCAACATTTTATTCTCTTCTTTCAGCCCCCCCCCTTTTTTTTCACTCTATTCGCTGCCTCTCTCGGCGTATTTATTTTTATAGTTTGATAGCCGGATGTGCCGTATTTGCGCGGCAAACGCTTTCGGATCTCTGACGTAACGAACAACATGGCAAGAGGTACATCAATAGCGTGATTAGTCGTCTACTAGACTTATCACGTCAGTGTGTTTAACGAAAAAACAAATTTGTTTTTTTTTTACTCGCTAATAATTATACATCTATAGGTACACGTATTACTCGCGTCGTGCAGTGATTTTAACCAGATGTACGTTGGCTGTGACTTTGGGAGACCGCGCTTATTTACCACCACCTCCCGTTTCTCTCCTTTTAATGGGTGTACATGCGTTCTCGCGCGCTATTATGTATGTAACCCGTACCCGTGTTAATTGAAACGCACCTAGGAGAAGTAGATATGTATGTGTATGTATACATGCGTAGAGGGTGCACCGAAATCCTGACGTTTCAATTTTTAATTTACTTGAATTACTTAAATAAAACGTACAGTTCCTCACTTGACACACATTCAATTGATCCTTTCTTGTTGGCTTTAAAATCCACCACTTAACAAACACTTGGCTGAAAAAAAAAAAAAAAAAAAAGGGAAACAAGCTCGATTATTTTTTCTTCACTCCAACGGGTAGATCATTCGCTCTGTACGTGGTTTTTTTGTTCTCGCAGTACAACTCTCTCACGTTCACGACCAAAGGAAGCAGCGTCCGAATAAATTACAGGGCGGGTGTGTTCATGAAACAGCACTCTAGTGGATTTCTTATTTTGGGCTTGGGGGGGTGAGGGGAGCACTCGGCGGAATGTTATTTCGAAAGTTCCCGGGGGCTGGGAACAGCTTAGGAGGGAGGCTCGATATTGAAATGGGAGCTTTTTCCTGGGAGCTAAGCGGGTGATAACGCCCTCCCACCCCCCCCCCACCCCAACTCCGTATAAATGCTGAATAAGAAGGAAGAGGAGTCCCTCTTCCCTAGCGCGTCGTATCTACGTTACACACACGCGCCCACGAATATATATTAGGAGGTGGTGGCGACGTGCGCCAGAAGGCACGCGAAAAGGAAAGCTGTCGCTCGTATACGATGTACGTATGGAAGCTATGTAGCCTAAAATGCAAAACTGCGAAGGAGAAGAATCCCACGGAGACTTGCCTAATGAGATTCGGGCGCTTAACATGTGATGATGATTCGTCGTCGCCGCTGCCTCTCGCGCGTAATCTCGTCATACCCTGGGAAAAGTAGGTTGGTGGTGGTAGTAGTAGTAGTAGGAGCACACGGTTTATGTAATACGACGCGCCGAGGAGTTATGTGCACGCGCATACGTACATACCCATCCCCGAGTATATGCAAATGACGTGGTACAGCGGCAGCGGCACGACTTTCGGAATGTGTTTAGGCAACTCCTTCTCTCTCTCTCTCTAAGCTCCCCTGCCACGCGGCTGGAGGAGAGATTAAATTCGCGCGAGATTGCGGGAGAGAAAAATTCATTACTATTAGCTAATGCCTGTACCTCCCGTGTACACACGTAGAGAGGGAGATTTTATTTTTCATTTTCGGGGGAAAGGCGAAAAAAAAAAAAATCACAGTTGACGCGCTTTTTTTTCGCTCCTCGATTTACATATTTTTTACGCCCGCTTGTGCCCTTTAAAACACGACGGAGGAGCTGCCAAAGGGGGTAACTTATACGCGGGATTATTATTTACGGGGAATTGAAAAATCTCCACGCACAGATTTCGAGATGCGCCTCTGAGGAGGAAAACAAAAAAAAACAAAAAAAACTACCCCCGGTGTTTATGGAAAGGTCTCACGTCGGCGGGGTGACGAGCGAATCCGACAGGAGCCGAACGAGCTCGATACCGCGAAGGGAGGAATAATAGAAACGGAAAGAGCAGAGAGAGAGAGAAAAGGAGCGTCCCGAGTGTCGGCTTCGAAATTATCCGCGTAGCGCAATTTTTTCCCCCCACCCCCAATCTCTCTCTTCCCGAGGGAGCGTTGCTCCGCCCGTTTGGCATTTATTTTTCCGCGACGCCGGCGCGTCGCCTCGGGGTAAATTGAATCTCGGTGAAAAAGTAAGCGGATGATGGAGAAACATACATAAATACGACCAAGTCTTTTCTCCTCTCCCTCCTCTATGTCACGCGTTTGGCATGACGCGTGCAAGGCTGGAAAATAAAAAATAGACTCCGTCCACGCACGTGTACGATATACCAAAGATGCGAGCAATTATACACTACTCCTGCAGTAAGTATAATATATCCTCGTTTCCTTTTCCTCGCGTGCGTGCGCGTGTATGAGTGTAGGATCGGCGGGTCGAAAATAGATCCAAGTTAGCGTCGGACCGAATTTCCCGGCGGCGCTAATGAAATTTCCTCGGCTCTCCGGGATAATAAATTCATCCGCCGCGATGCACGTTCCGAGAGATACGGGGAAGAAAAATCTGCATGCATGTTCGGGCGCGTGCACTACCCGCTAAACACATACACACAAAGCGAGAGCCCTGTCACTTGGGAGAGTGCGCCACCTGCACCTACCGCACACAACAATATACCTGTGGGCGAAACTTTTAATTAACAACTCATATTTATTCATAATCCGAGCTGCCGTGTGTATATGCTGGTTGAGCCTTGGGGGGTCCGGAGGCGACCGATGGAGCCATATTCTCGCGCGACCCGGTCCCTCGGGCCAGGGCCAAAGGCGCCGCGTTACACCCCCCGATTATACGCCACGATAATGCGAATAAGCCCTGGATTATACGCCCGTAACTCCACTACTGCTACGGCTAATAAATGTCCCACCCCTCCAACCAAAGGATGTATATATACATGTGTGGTTTTGCGCGTAAATTCAATTGCTCCCGGAAAAGTAAAGTAATACCATGTACAGGTGGTGTATACTACCCCTATTTCAACGATCGCCCCTTGTCTCCCTCGTTTGGTATAGCGTCGAGAAATGACATTCCAATGGGGGGGGGGGAGAGAAAAGTCAAGAGTGAAATTATACAAAAGCCGGACGGCAGAGGTACAGCGAAATCGTTGATTCGGCCCTCTTTCCCGGCAGTCGAAAATTAATCCCGTTCACAAATATTTGCCCCCGGACGGTGTGTATACAGTATTATTACAACTTTCTCTCGGTGTATAGGCACCTTATATGTGTGAAAGCGCCGAGGAGGGAAAATCTCGATCCTGCTGGCGGATGGAAAAGGAGCTCCTCCCTTTTTTTTTTCCCCCCAGCCGAGAGACGTGCCGCTGCTGGGGTAAACACACGCCCTCGAGGGTACAGGCGTGTACGTGCGGCTAGCTGCGTATTTTCTTTTTTTTTTTTTTTTTTTTTCGGCAAAGGGAGAGGTTGTAAGTGTAAATTCTTCCTTTTGATGACGCGCTGCGGTATTGATTTCACGGAGGGCTGTTGTATTGTTCCCGAGGCGAGTTTTTGGTTGAAAAGTAGAAAGGAAAAAAAAGTTTCGGAAAAATTTAATTCAATGGGAGATTCATGGCGGCAACCGGCGGAGAAGAGAGACGTTTAAAAAAGTGAAGTGAGAGTTTAAAGAGCGAGGGTTGGCGGGCGGGTTGCAGGGGTACACGAAGAAACGAGGAACTGGCTGGCGGGAGGAGAAAGTTTGACGGCGGCAGAAGGGCATTATCGCCTGCTCTCCGGCCGCGATCGTCAAAACTTTCAAATCCCCCAGCTTTGCCCCAGCGTTGGGAAGAAATAACCTTTGAGCCCGGGCACGTACGTATATTTATATAGGGGGAAAGAAAGAAATACCTAATTCACTGCACTGATAATTTTTTTACTTGCGTGCCCTTATAATATACACACACACGTTTTCTCGTTGCAGCTTTTTTTATACCGAGCTCATCGTCGACTTTTCGGTCACCCTTTCTTTCTTTCTTTCTTTTTTTTTTTTTTTTTTTCGCCAACTTAGTTTCCTTTCTCGCCCTCAACTTTGCCGTTAAGATTTATTGCGCTTTTACGATTCGGAACACACAGGCTCCGATACTCCGCGAGAGAGCCTCGATTTATAGCCTCCCCCCTCTGGCAACTACAATCTTGAACTTGTTATTGTTATTCCTCTTTTTTCTTTTTTTACTGCTTGATTCACCGCGTACATAGACGTAAACCCATCGAATGGCCCTTGAACGTGCACCGTCTGACTATAATCAGGCTGTACTACTTGGGTGAATTTCCATCGGCGATGGAAGGTACAAGCGTCATCTCAAAGGCGAAAGCCAACTCCTAATCCGGTTAATCTCAGGGGGGGGGGGAAGCCACTCGAAACAGCAAAAAGAGGGAGGGGGCAAGAAAAAGAGAGTCAAGTGGTGGGAAAATACATGTACACCCTCGTGTACTCGTCAAGCGAATTTTTTAAGAGAGAGGGGGAGGTTTGCGAAGAGGAGGGAAAGAAGAAAAAAAAATAGAGTCGACTTACACTTGCGCACGGCGGCGGGGGTGCCGAGAAGCAGGAGGGCACCGACTAGCAGGAGCCCGAGGCCCCGCGGCTGGAACTCGGCCATGCCTCTCTCTCTCTCTGTTGCTGCTGCTTTTCTCTTCTTTTTTCCCTTGTCCTTGTGGCCGGCCGTGTCTGCAGCCTCTGGGCGTCACTTGTCCCTCCGCCTACCACTTGGCCTTGTCACTCTCATTTGCGGCGATCACCTGTAAACCAACGGAACGTCACTTTGTTTTTTCCCCTCAAATGTTGGACGGCAGTGCTGCGTCACGCGAGTTTACGAGACGCGAAACGGGATAGGGCCGGAGCTTCTTAAAAAGCTCCTCGTCACCCCGTTAAGTGCCGAGAAACGTAAAACTAACTCGGGGGCTGCTCTATACGCGCGAAAAATTCTTCCCTCCCCGACCTAACTTGGCTCTTACGACTACGTGGAGAAAAAAAAAAAAAAAAAAAGAAAAAGTATCCTTAAAGCGCCGTGGCCCGAAGCTAATTAAAAAAAATTATAACGCCAAGTTCCCCACCCCCTCTTTCCTCAATTGGGCGTGAAGAAAAAAAACGGCCCACTCGTCCCGAAAAATTTATTTCGCCGACGAGTTTTTTATTAGCTCGGGAAAACATTCGCCCTCCCGGACAGAGACGTAAAAGCGCCAGCCGGCACTCTCGGGTTCCCCAGAAGCGGCTCACGTCACATTTTTCACCGAAATATGTCATCCGAGAGGAAAGTAGAGAGAAAAAAAAAAAAAAAAAAAAGGGTATAAGCCGTCTCCCTTAAGGTCGTCGAGTAGAAAAATCGAGGGTCTCGGGGAAGATGAACCGCTCGTGCGTTATTAAGCAGGCGCCGTCGCGCGGAAAGGCCGGAACGCAACGCGAATATAAAGAACATTTATACCCCCTCCCCCCCTCCTTATCTACTGCTGCGGTCGAGATGTGCCTTTTGACGCTCCATGTCCTGGAGAATCATTCGGCGCGTTTTTTTTTCTTTCTTCCGTTCCCGGGCTCGAAACTTTTACGGAGCCGGCGAACTTCTCTCGTTTCGAGCTCTTTCCCACTTTCTCCCTTTGTTTATTGTATTTTTATGAACACGCGTTATCCCAACGCATAGAGCCCCGATCGTAAAGCATAGTCCCGTAAGAGGACTACCGCACGCACAGCTGTACAGGTGTGTATAGTGGTCGAAAAGGGGTAAATATTGACGGCTGGAGCATCGATTCCAAGGGGGCGTTTACTCGTACCACTTGTTTTCGGTCGGGGCCAAGGCAGGCGGTGCCTCTAATCGCGAGAACAACAGAGCACCTCGAGGAGCGAAGGAGGATGAAACTTTTGCAAAATGCACGGCGGGAGGAGGAGGGAGGGTAGCCAAAAGCGCAAGAATTACGAGTGGCAATGAAAAGCCCTTGGGTTCCCGAGCGGAGCAATAGGAAACTCGTTACCCTTTTCGTGGGGGGCTCAAAAAAGGTAGAAGCTCGACTACTCCTGGCCTGATAAACAATCGGAGACGATGATAACACAAAGCAGGCGCGAACGGAATTGCACATCGAGAAACTCTCAAACTCGACGCCGCTTTACGCGTGTATGGGTATATCGGGTTATCGGGGGGGAGGGAAAATTTCCTCATCGGCAGGAGGATCGGCGCGAACGTGTAACAATTACCATGGGACACGACCCTCGAGCCGAATTTCACGTATACCGCCACCGCGTGTGGCTGTCCCAATGTATTCGGGGCAGTTAACACACGCGCGCGTATGTATACGTTATACCATTGGGGGTAGGGGATTAATAGCTGGCACGGGAATCCGCCCTTAGGATCTAAATTCAATCCGATTAACGGGACGCGGTAATTACGGTTTAGCCGCGGCTAAGGTTGCACACCACCCAAACTGCGCCTACAACGGTCTTATTCCTTTTTATTTTTTTTTCTTTTATTTTCGAAAGCGCCAGGGGTTTTACATAATATCGACTCTTGTCCGTGCGATTATCGCTTACCTGGGATTCCACAAGCTGAGAAGCCTGCATTGGCCCGACGATCTTTTTTTTTTTTTTTTTTTTTTTTTCATAGCACCCCGGCTTGACCGTGTAAATTTCTTTGTTTCGGGCAAAAAAAGGGGGTGTAGGACACAAACTGCGGCGAAAAAAATGTGTTCAGCTTAATGGTGAACCAAAACGTAGATAGAAACAAGGGCTGCCCTCCCACAAATATGATATTTATCGGGCTGATTGAGAGCGTGGGAGTACCAACACGGGTTAAACTCACGCGTGTGTGCACGTATTCCGTTATCGTGCGGCGCGTGAAAAAAGGAGCGAAAGAGGTACAACCACCGGAGCTACACAGCCGAGCACGTGCTATTTACGTGCCCCCGTTGGTCCTCGCTTTGCGATGGGAATTTATTTCCCCCACAGCAGCTTCCCCAATTAGATTTCATTCCGAGGAAATCAAAAAGCTCTTCGCCCCTCCTTCCAACTTGGGTTATTTTCAGAGGAGTTACATCCCTTACGTATACACAGGCGTTAAAACCCACCCCCTCGACCAAGCACCGGCTAATGACCTGGAACAACCGAGCTCCCCTCTCTCCTTTGTCGTCTGCATCAGGGAAATAATAATGGTAATGATGATGATGATGATGATAGTGGCAGCGAAAAAAAAAAAAACAAAACCCAAAGAAAGTATAGGTGCACGATGCAAGAGGCCTTAATGGAGAAGGGGGGGAGGGATGTATTAATTTTTCCTTTTAATTAACGATTTCATTACGCGGGATAATTCACGAGTGGGTGGGAGGGCGCGAGACAAGATACACTGCGGGGCTCTAATAGAAAATTTGCTGCCCCGGCGTGTCTCACTTAAGCTCGTTTTTCTTTCTTTTTCTCGCCCTTCCTATCGTCCCCCAAGACTATATTTTTTTTTTTTTTTTTTTTTCTCAACGTCCATTAAAACGCGAGCGCTTTTAATCCGCCTGTGACCTACATGGGGCGAGTTATGATGTTTCCCGCGGATTAAAAACCCGCCCGAACCCAATTTCTCGAGCCCATCCGCGGGGTCTTCCGAAATATAGGACCATTCGGGGTGGAAATATCAAAAAAAAAAAAAAAACAAAAAAAAAAACGAGAGACCAACGGCAATCGTTTGATCGACCTACAAGCGAGAGATAGAAGGGGTGGCGAAACAGATTGGTTATTCGAATATCAATAGCCGAAACGTCAGACCTATACGCGCGCGTGAGGGTACACAAACGCAGCAGCGCGGCAGAGGAAATAAATCCGCGTTTTTATTGCTTCGGAGGTAAAATAGAAACAGAGATGGATCCGCGATTCGTTAGCCGGGCAATTTTTTCGAGTTTTACCCCTCAGGTGTCACGCTCGCATCAGCAGCGGTGATCGAAAAGAGGAGGAAAAACAAAGAAACAAAATAAAAAGAGGCTCACCTGCGTGTTGTTTCGAGGCTCGGCGAACAAAGAAAGCAAAGAAAGGGGGTATCGTCCCCCGTGGCATGGGCAGCTGCATCAGCGGCAAATACACCGTCGAGGCCCTTCCATCGGGGGCATGTATCCCGACGTCAAACGTCCGGGAGACAGACGGAAGAGAGAGAGAGACCAGTCCAATTTCTGCGGGGGGGGGCAATAATAGGCACTCGCGCGCACCCGACGGCCGACGCAGCGGAGCACCGACTGGTGGACTACTACTCTCTTTCTGCACTTTGCTCTACCGCGCAACTGTGGCTATTGGTCGTAGCTCTCGTTAGAGGGGCGAGAGAGAGAGCTATATACTTGCCCGCACACACGCGCGCGACGACTGGGATCGAAGCTTGCGCAAGCTCCGCATCGCTCCCCTTCCCCTCCGCCCTTGCGTTGTACACGCGACTACACGTATACCCTCTCTTTTGCAGTTTGCTCCCGGCCGACTGGGACTCCCGTGTGCTTCTTCTTCTTTCCCTCCCTCCCTTCCCTCGGCATTCCCAAGAGCTTTTCCTGCATGCTTTCTTTCCCCACCCCCTCCGATATTATTGCGTTGTCGTTGCCTAAACATTTCTTACCTCTTCGTTTGTACATACACGTATACGCGTGCAAATGCGCCTTCGGTGTCTCGAGGTCCTTGGGGTTATCTACATCTATAGTTGCGTTTGTATAATTGTAAATGCTCGAGTTTCGGGAATTTCGATAGTTATACACAGCTTCGGGAATTATACATATTTCATCTGCGTGTAATTTATACATTATACGAGGACCGTGTGTTTATTGCCATTTCATGTATACGACGATGTGTCTCTTTTTTTTTTTTTTTTTTTTTTTTTTTTTTTTTTTTTTTTTTTTATACTTGATGCAAATGTTCTTTGACAGTTTGTTTGCTGTAATGATGGGCTCCTGCATGGTGTACCCGATTGATTCTGTTACTCTATATTTTCACCGTTTTGCTAATATTTATTATACGGTGGAAAACCCGACATTTTTTTTTTGAGCTGTATAACAAGGTTTGTTCAATATTTGATGTTTCACGGAAAAAGTGATTGCTTTGGAGAAAAAGGGAAAAACTCCAAGTGATTCGCCAAAGTAATTCAAGAAATACGAAAACGCAAGGAAAATTCCTTGAATGCGTCATTTAGGGAGTAGTATATACCCTCGGTCACAAAAAAAAAAAAAAAAAAAAAAAAAAAAAAAAAAAAAAAAAAACCTGCAAAAATAACCAAAATAACTGCAGCCACGGAGCCACCGGCTTGGCCGATCGAAATGACTTTATCTCCGTTTCTGCCATATACGCACGCATCGAAAGGCGCAAGGGAGCCAAAAAGCCCCGCACTTGTATCAACCGCAAAGCACCAGTTTCGCCATTATTTATTTATCAAAGCACACCCCCGGTGGCAGCTTCATTATATCTCTCTCGTTTAGCGTTGTTTTTCCTCCCCTATACCGGGCGCAAGAGATTTTTCATCCGGCTTATTTCCTCGGGCCATTGCCACGTAATCGGGCTCTACTTAATGACGAACCTACAACTGTTTACATAGCTTTTTCGTGTACATACATAAATATAGCAATCAGCTATTCTACAACGGTATATACAGGTATGTGTACACATCACAATAGCGCGGCCGTTTGCCTCATCCTCTCTCCTGTTTGTTGTATCGTATACTGCCGTCCATTGTAATTTTTCACACCTGAAACAACGTGATTTTTTTTTCTCTTCTTTTTCTCTTCTTTTACCCCACGGGGCACGTGCGTTGAATACACCTACGTATACTGTTGGTCGCGTTTCGCGTCAATCAAACTTTTCTGTTTTTTTTTTTTTTTTTTTTTTTTTTTTTTTTTCCATGCGTGCCCTCGTTGGAATTTTAATAGTCCCTCGAGCCAACTTTCGACATGCCCGGCGTTCCTTGTTCCGATTCCTCAGTTTTAACGAGCAATCCATCATCGGAGCCCGAGCGTCCGGTATCGAGCCAAGGAGGGAGGGGAACGTATAAAGGACAGAGCGCCGAGTTTGCAAAAATTTTTCGGGCTGTCCGCACAATGGCTCGAACTCGTAATTAGCGCGCGGCTACGCGAGCGTGGCGATTTAATTAGTTCGTATAGGTGGTACGCGGGGGTAGGGATCGATTTTGGCTATCCAGGGGGGGGGGTGTAAAATTCCGGCCTCGTTACATCTGAATTTTCCCCCGTTCCACGGTAATGGCCCCCCGGGCGCTCGTGCGAGTTGAAATTAGTTGATTGGATCGCTGGAAAGACGGGAATGATCCGCGAGGCCGGAGGAGATAACGCTGTGCACCGAGTGTATACGGTATATGGTTACCGGGGCGTCAATTAGCGCATTTGTTGCTGGGTATCGTTACGACGACACCTGCCCCCGCGAGTCGAGTTGCCGATCGCCTATTATTTCCTGGCACTGTAAGGGCTTTGAAAAAGGTTGAGGCGCGGGTGATGCAGAAAGTGTACAAGTTATCGTGTTTTATGAAGTTTGAATTATTTATTTGCCAGGTGTAAAACAATTGATTTATTTTAGTGTGAAGACACTTGAGGTGTGTATTATACAACAGATATAACTGCGTACATTTTTCTATGTTTTTTAGTACAAGTACTTTTATATGCTTTGTGTTGAATGAAAGTTCGATTGCATCAAAAATGATTTAGTAAGGATAGAAAATTAAAAATTATTGCAAGAGAGATTTACATCAAGTAAAAACCAATTGATCCCTTTTTTTGAAAATACTTGAGGCTGGTCCAAGGAAGTAACTCTACATTTATTCCTTGATGTTTTTCAGTACAATGTCTTATATATATATACATATACTTTGCGTAAAATGAAAATTTTATTGCATAAAAATGAACATTCCGCTAATAAGTTGTTAATCTTCATTCGGACATTCAATATGACGAAAAGACGCGTAAGTAAGGTGAAAAAAATATATCAACGTCTTGGGATTTCGTGAGAAAACGAACAAAAAGTTATTAAAAAACGTGCCACTGTCGCGAATAAATATCAACACCAACCTCCACGCCCGCGCCGCATCATCATGACAAACATGCTTTTTTCGTCCATGGGACACGCGCATGAATAGCTAAAGGTGAAAAGAAAAAAAAACAAGTTATCCGCAACGGCACTTTGCAATGGGCCCGAAAAGCATCTCAAGAAAGAAAACCCTGAAAAAGTAATCACGATAATCTCCATTCGAGTCCACGGCCCCGCAAGAACCACAATAGCCCGCGCCTCGTGCATACACTCGCAGCCAAAGGCATAAATAAGAATGAGGCGAATAAACAACAAGCCAAAAATGGTATACACAAGGTGGTAGACATAGTTCAACAGATCAAGCGCCCACACCCCCGCAATCACGCAAGATCATCCTCCTCGTATAGCTTTTTGCTCTCCTCGTATATACATAAGCAGTATAGATCATGGCCAAGCACAGCCCTAAACACAACATACATATACCGATCTCACGGTGCGGAGCATCGGAAGCAGCCGATTTTCCAACTCCCGTAAACCCAATCAGCCCCGGGGGCGCGTTATATTTATGACGGCTGGAAATGACGATTCCTCCCCCCCCCCCTCATCCCGAAGTTTAGGTTCTCGGACTCTCCCCCTCTCTCTGTATAAACTTACGTTACAATACCCCCCCCCCGGGGAGAGAGGGGGGGGGAGAACTTTGATCTCTAATTAAACTCTCTTGGCTCGGCAGAGCGAGAAGAGGCGATCCTTTTTTTTCCCTCCCACCTGTGCCCCCCCACCCTCCTGTCTCTGCGATGGCTAAATATAAAACGCGCCCGGGAGACTCGTTAAAAGCGCGCCCTCGGTCCGCGAGATAAGCCGGGCGATTACGGGGGTGAGTGCGATGTGTACTTTGTTTTAATTTTTTTTTTTTTTTTATACGTGTTGGGGGTCTCTGTATGGGCTACAAAAGACATTTAGATGCTTCACATATAATCAACAGACGTGCAGTCGTCGGCACGGGGATGTTGTGGTTGAGTTGATTATCGACACCACGCTCCATTAATTTGTACGCATATCAAATAACAAGTCAAAGCAACGATGGTAATTTGGTTATTGATTAACTTCACGGGCAGTGTGTACGATATTGTACCGTATATAAAAAAATAAAAATAAAAAACAAAGCGAGATACGAAACAATTATTTCCTACATATACGTGTGTGTGCGGGGCAATCTGAGCCGATAGAAAAAAGATCGATACCGCGATCTCGAATATCTCGGTTCGACAATTTTCGGGGGAAAAAAGAGATCGGTATGCACCGAGCCGAAAAAACTGCTCGGATTCATTGTTTGCTCTTTGAAAGTACACGTGTGCAAAAAAAGCTCCCGCCTTGATATTCCGCGAAGATTAAAGGAGCGCGAGATAGATAGTAATAATGAATGGAAAAAAAAAAAAAAAAATACCCTCTCGGATAGTAAGAGGCAAAATTATTGGTCGGGACCCCTTGGTTAAAGTTAAAGACGAGTCGTACGTGATGGGACGGCTGTCGAGGCGGCCATTAATGAACGTACAGTTGGAACGTACACATATATTTCCGCGCCGGGCGTATGCGTCGATATATTCAATATGCGAATTTTCCTCCACCGGCTGTGTATAGGACACGACGCGACGTCGCTTATCGATAAAGCAATAAAGTCGAACCCCCCCCCCACCCACGCGCGCGGGCTTTCTTTATATATACCCCGCGACGCTCATGAAATATTCACCAATTTGCGCGCAGTATAACCGCCACACGCCCGAACGGCTATGTACATATTATATACCTGCCCATTGGAAATTAATTCCGCTCGTCGATGCGTTCGTTTTTTTCCTTGTCCGGTTCTTTTGGCTAATCCCCGAGACGGCGGTTCGTTCGATTATTATTGCTGCCCGGGCAGTGTCCCCTGCGCGGCCGATTGAACCAAAAAAAACAAAACAAAAAAAGTAATTCATACATAGGTATCCCTCTTTTTCGTATATATACCCAAGTGTTACGTCCCTATAGTGTATAGTGTATGACGCGCGTGAGCAAAAGCAAGTGCGCTGATTGCATGTACAGCCGGCTATATAACGAGGATGTAGCCAATGAAAGGGAGCTTTGCTATTTTTCAATCGTGGAAGTGACGCTCACCCGCCACTTGTCGTTGACTCTCTGTACTTGTACACAGCAGCTTCTCCTTGACACTCTATATATTATTTACCTTTCTCTCTCTCTCTAGCTTTATCCGCGGTGCCGGCTAATTTCACCTCAATCCCCTCTCCCCTTCGGAGTCACTTTGTTGATGATGC